TGGTCATTGTACTGCAGGTGCAAGACACAGCAAGACCCAATGTTGTAGGGCTACAGCCAGACCTCACATACCAGCAGCCCTCCAGCACAGTGAAGCTGTCATCACCCAACATCAAACTCACAATGGATCCACTGACCTTGACACATTTAACATTGATTCCCGGGCAGACAAACTTCTTAAACAGCAGGATGGCCTTGCTGTCCCCACAGGTTATGGGGTATCCGTACTCCACTTCCCCTTCTGCAGGGACATCGTCTGGAAGATAAGACAGCCATTACCGAGATTGGCATGCATCAGCTGTAGGAACACAGAGCCCACAGACAAAGGAATGAGAGGATGTGCTTTAGCCGTGAAGCTCACTGCATGCACACACATAGAACAGTAACAACCTTGGTGTGTATCTACTGCCACAACAGCAGTTTCTGTTTCAGCGGAGTCCTCACACATCCTGTAAGGGAAGACAAACCACATTATGGACCTTTTTCATGACATGATCCCTGCATTGTACAAGAAATGTCTATGCTACATATTTTCTAAAAATGCTAAATATGAAAGATAAAAATTCCATCATTCCCAGCGAGTCAGATGATAAGGAAGGATGCGACACTCACATGATCAACACACAATCTACTTGAAAAAATTACTGACATCATGTTCAGTCGCAGCTTGAGAAATTCTCACACAAGTTCGTATTTGAGAGTGCAGCTGAACTGAGTATTTAGGAGGAAAGCATTAGCAAATATGAGAACATGGAACATTTATGACCCACTAACCCAAAGCATGCGTGTAGGCTAGTCAGTGTTCAGGAATACTGTCCTTTTAGCACTTGTTCTGTCAGTGACCCCAGGAGGACCCTCTCAATTACCCACTCCCAAAGCTAGAAGAGCTATAGAGTCTCTTCATCTGTGCCCTACAGCCTACTACTGATGTCGATGGCGCTTCCACGGAAAGAATATTCCTGCAGGTTAAGTATAATTTGATATTGTACGTGTTACTCACTGTAACAAATGACTGAAGAAATTGCTGTTATTCTTTTAAATATAGATGTATGAAATCACTGGGTACCATTACAAAAGACTATTCCACCAGGCGTAATGAACAACATTAATATTACAGGGACACTGTGCAGGGTTTAAAACTCCCTGGCTAACATTATTACTGAAATGATTCATTGATATAATGACAAACTGGAAATAACCATATTATGGGCACTCTGTAACATTAAGACAAAAACAAAAAATATGGAAACTATAATCATTAAGGGTATACTTCGATTTATTGTGCAAATTAGCTAAGAAGGCCACAACGGATTGGTTTCCAATTTAAAACCAATTCTTAAAGTATACAGGCAACTATTCTGCTTATTAAAGTGACTCCCTGAACTGACCAAGCAGGGAACCCTAAAGCTTTTCTGCAGTCAAAAACAAGTCTAAAAACATATTTAGTCAAAAATGGGTTACATCAATAAGAATCTTGATTAAAATAAATAAATGGTTCATGATTATGCTCATGTACAGACAGAGGGTGGACATATTTTAGATATGTTAGAAGGGCAGTTATAATGCCCAACACAATTTCAGACTTTCAGAGTGCTTTCCTTAGGTGCCGCGGCGCCTTCTGGGTGCTGTCCCCATGGCGTAAGCGCCGCTGCTCCTTACCCTTGCGTGATTGGCTGAAGCTGCAGAATAACCTGAGTCTTGGGCTTGCCGTCGTCACCCTTCACCATCACCAAGTCCCCCACTGACACGGCAAGCTCCGCGTCGGCCATTGCCAGCTCCCCGGGGTCCTGCCGGGCAGAGGCTAGTCACTGCAAGGCCACGGAGCGCATGTAACGGCTTCAAAAACGAGTACCCAGATATGGTGTGCCACACGGTGGATCCCGGTCAGGGCTGCTGCCTCAACAAGCAAAGACCTGAACACAACTACCCCCCGTATCATTTACCACTCATCAGGCTGGAAATGTTTAAAGATGGACAACCGACCTGCCCAAAAACCCTTAAGAGAACCATCACACAAGCACACAAAACTGAATAAAACACACCAAACACGCCTTAACAATCAGTTTAATATATCTGTAAGCCAGTAAATTAAACATTTAACAATATGAAATTAATGGGGCTTTCATGTTTTACTAGTTATTTTGCTATCAGGACAATAAGAACAATTATTATGGAACAAGTATAGTTCCATCTGAGAGCCGGCTTAAATGCACGGTATTAAACTCGCTGGGTGACGTTTAGCGTGCGTTTGTATAAATGTCCGGTTTCAGAATCCGATAAAAAATAAGCCTGGGGCGTTTGGTGAAAAAGCTCCATTTACCCTTCCAGTCCAGAGTTTTTAATTGACTTATTCGAGAAATAGAATATATTTTTCTACAAATAATCGTATTCTACATAGGCTTCAGGAATCAAAATTAGAATAAAGCATTTCCACTTCGTTAATCTGTAGAGCGTCGCTAATTAGAGCGCTGTTTAAAAACGGCCACATCTACTAATCCGGATTCACTGCGCACCTGTTGCATAGCAGTCACCTGATGGGTCAACGTTGAAAGACACTACTAAAGGACTAGTCTCAAAAAGCTTTGGTACCTATATTATTTGCCTTTTCCAAGTACACGTATTAATGGTACTTTTCGGACGTTATGCATGGGGTGGAATATGCAAGAATCATCGTGACTCCCTAAAACTATATTGTTTCAGAAAACTGATGCCCATTCACTTTGGTTATGAGTCGAATAATATGATAAAATTCGAAACTTTACATTTTTATTTAGATCGACGGCTAGTTAACGGGAAAGTCGCTGGTTCCACAAGATAGGTTGCTTTCATTTTGCTTGTTTCGACACCATCAACAAATTCTGTGGCGAAAATTTAATTAGCAATCAGCAAAATAAAGTAAATATAGCGCAGTATCGTAATAAGTGTGTCTTCAAATGGCTGACAATATTTATTTTATATAGTAAAACAACAGATAAGTTGTAACTTTGTACGAAAAGTTAAACCTCCCAAGTTTATTAGTAAACTTAAATATCCACTCACACGGCCCCGTCTACAGAGCTAATTCGTGTTAACTTGCCTGTGTAGCACGGAGGCTAGGAAACCCCGTTTATTTAAATACCAAACCACTTAGCCAGACACGCTAGCCGAGCAGCTACCTGGTTAGCATTCGCGTTACGCGCTTCGGCCGCCCCAAATTACTTCAGTTCCCTATAATTGGGGAGCTAATCCATCGTTTATAGTGAGAAATTCTGGAACTGATTCTTTTTTTCTTTCATAATAACAAAATTACGCCCTCTCTAAACTTTAGCTTAGCATGGTCGCCGCTATTAGCCGCCCCCTCCCGGCGCGCCTGGATTCACTGTAAGGGTTGTGATGCCTAACTAGTGCTTTTAAGCGCTCTTCGCACGGCTCCACCGGCCGGCTGAGGCGGCACTCGGAGGGCTCGCTAAGAGCTCCGCCTTCGCCGCACCAACAGAGGTTAACAACGCGCCGTTCGCCCCGGTCGCTGGCGACGCACCCGCGTCGTTCTTTTTTCCCGCCCGCTTACTCGCTCGCGCTCTCCCTCCGGCTGACGTCTCGCCGTGCGGCGGCACGTACAGCAACAACAAGCAACAGCGCGTCGACGGCGACGACGGCGGCAGCGCCTGAGTTGCTGCCCTTCTCACGGACGGGCCGTTTCAACTCGAATATCGCACTGCTACCGGCGAACGTCCGAACCAGAGCTTCGCCGGGCGTTGCGTTCTCCCCCTTTTCACTCGCCAAACACAAACTAGTGGCTTGATGAACACCAAACTGGGGTTTTCTCTTACCGCTTTAGAGTTGCGAAGACATCCTTGGCGACCAGATATCTCACTGAGCATGCGTCGTGCCGCTTCGCTACACTTCCTGCAATGAAGCCAGTGATGTCTGGCGGAGAAGCTTCGACTCCTGTTGACACAAAACTAGCTTCGCACACAATCTGCAAAATTACGAGAACGGTTCTAACAAGGAAAATGTCCCATTGTCTATCCTTAGGCAATATAGCTTAAAGCAGATTAGTAATAATTATGAACTGTATAGTTTAAATCCGCTAACAAGATATGGCATGACAACCAGACTGCGATCTGCCTAAATCTGTTTACACATCATGGATAAATTGAGCAGTACATTCATTTAATAAAGACACGTGCATGTGTTTTTATACCGTGCCATCTTTGTAAATAAGGATTATTCTGATTGCATGATGTATGGTTCCAGCAGGTGGCGTCGTTTTTCAACAAAACCCGTCCAGAATGCTTAGAAAATATATTCTAATCTGTTGTTGCACTACGTTTATTGACATACCTTATTTCGACTTCTCAGCTAGACTGGTGTGCATTTATATGCATAATTGAAAACCTCTGGTCGATTGTTTTTCGAGATATGTAACGTTCATACGTTAAGGTTAACTATTAAAGGACCGCACGCTACTGAATAGAATGTAAACTGATTTTATTTGGAAAATTTGTCTGCATCGCTTTTCAAAGTCAATATAATCTTAAGCAGTCATAGGGTATACAAGGTAAGTAATTATGTACACGAAATTCTATCATAAGTATGTGCTGATAGATAGATAATTTTTTGACCCCGATGTAAATTAAGGGAAACACTAAAGTGAAATGCTTGTGCGTAACTCTAAATTTGTTCTCAGTGTTTAAGCACATACTACTTAAAACTAATTTATACCGCTTATTTTTTAATTTTAGCTCATTCTTAGTTTCAGCCAAGGTCATGATGTCATACATTTAATCGAAATTTCCCATTTAGTTCACTTAAAGTGTACGAAAACCAGTTTCTTTTCTTAATATTAATATTAGTTTGCAATGTATCAAAACTTCCCCCATAGATCAACATTAATGGGGATTTTTTTAGCAAGTCAGTATTTAGACTGGCACTTTTGGGAGCCAATAGGAAGGCAGGTAAACACCTCTCGAAACACCTCGCATCCAATGAGAAGTATCCGGTGCCTGGATCCTAGTAAGTTGTATGATAATCGTGCCACTTCGCTTGATTACCTACAGTAAATGGTTTTGTTATATTTGACGGTTCGAACGCGGAGCGTAACATCGCCTCCATGTAAATCATGATCGGCATGCTTAGAAACATTCGGGATGCTATCCATTTTTTAACCAGATTTCTCCTTCTGCTTTATATCAAAACTTTGGAAATACACGGACAAGATGGTAAGCTATTGATCAAACATAATATACATTTTTCACCGTTTTCAAATGACTGAGAGGAAAAATCTAACTGTTGTTTTTGTATGAAGGTCAAGTGTTTTGTGTATTGGACATTCTCCGACTGTCATCCGTTTTTTTCCGTCAGAAGCTGGAGTTAATATGTAACTTATTCTCGGTGTATTGAGTTCATAGTAAACATTAATAATGATCTGTAGATTTTCACTGTCTGGGTAGGTACGCTACACCATCAAAATGAATAAAAACTTTTAGATGGGACAAAAAACGTTTTCTTAGCCCAAGAACCAGAAAATGTAGGAGTAATTGAAAGTAGTGTTTATGGAAAAATTAGTTATGTTTTAACTCGTTCGTCTCTGGTGGTATGTCTATTCCGACCAGATAAAGTAGATTAGGTTGTGTTTTCTGTGTTTGAGATACATTTCCTTAGGGACGCCTGTTGCTCCTGTACAGAATTTTTATGATACCAAACTCTAAATAAGACAGACATTACAGCGCATTGTATCCGAGTTAACTGGTCACTTTTTGTCACACGTTAACCAGTTAACGCCGTATATGTGCTTTCATGTTTTCAGTGGGTTCTGTTATCATTGATGTACTGATGATTTTAACTAATGTTCTTAAGTAACAACTACGTTTTAATGTGCAAATAAATGGACAGGAAATGTAAACTTCATGGGTGAATCAGCTGGAAAAATCTTTACGCACATCTGTGCATTTTCTGATGGCCAAATCATGACTCTTTGTATTGTTAAGTGTTACTGTACAGCCTGCGGTGGATTGTTTAAACACACATCTTTCTTGAATCTGGAGGGTCTCGCCATAACTATTGCAATTCCGATAAAGTGTGAGTCACTTTGGACCGAACCTGCATCCATCCTGTCGGTGAATTTTAATTCCAGATGACCTTGCTGCTTTGCTCGAACCAAACGGCTGCCTCAGAAGGATTTCAAGTGTCTGCTGAGGGTCTCCTTTTTCTGAAATAGTAGTTCTTTGTTAAGGAATCCCTCATCCTAAAAGTAACCCCATCAAAACAGGAATACCAAGTTTCTATGACCAAGTTTAACAACTGTCTACCTAGAAGCTGCTGCCTTTACAAGGGCAGTGTGTAAAGTTGATTTATCCAATAAACCACTAAACTAATCAATAAATATGATTGTTTCATATTTGTTTCCGAAGGAGGCTGTGGAGTTAGTTTTAATGAGCAGATTGATTGCTCCGAATAATTCCTGTCTTCCAGAATATTTGTGTTTGGACATTAAATTAAGTTAAACTTAGTTTATAATAAATGTTTAATAGCTAGTTATCTTCTATGGTTTGATCCAAATTAAATCGATGTTGGCCTCTAACGCGTCCCACAACTGAATGAACATGCAGGATGAGTAAGACACACAGAGTAACGCACACAGCCAGCACTCTCAGGCGGGCTGTGACATCACAGGCTGCCCCTGTTTGACCCCCGCCTCCCGTGTGGTCCCCACGGGTTCCAGCTAATCACGGATCTGTGCATTTTCATTGGTCACGGGAAGGTGGGGTGTGGCCTATTGAGTCCAGAGGGACTGGAGGAGGCGATGTGCTTCATGCTCAGTCACAGTTTAAAGGCTCAATCTATGTTTGCTCAGTGACATAAAGCACCCCCACCCCATTCCAACACCCACCCAGGCAGGAAGGAGCAACCAGCGACGGGGAGGTTCGGGGCCTTCCCCTGTTGACGCAGCATTAAGCCACAGTGGATAACCTTTTCCCGCTTTTGGCTGGGAAGCCAGCCGAGGGCTTCAGCCTGCAGATTGCTGGAGTCTTGTAGAAGCCGCTGTGGCCACATTAGGGTGTCCAATAACTTATGCTGTTTTTCTGTATTTGGATGCTCCACCCCACCCCCCCACCCCCACGCATAGTGTGCTACTGCTGCAAAAAAATGCTAAGGCTTTGTGGCTGGGGATTCTGTGAGCGAATCCTCTATCAAGCCCATAGTAGGTGAATGTGCTGGTGCAGAGAGATTGACAGAAAGGTATTAGTTACTGGCAGGCAGTGTTGTGGCATGCTGTCGGCTGGCGATGCGGACCTGTGGGGGCCTGCCCTTTCAGTCTCAGGCTGCCGACCCAGTCTTGGTTTGATGCTCTTTGAAATACAGCATTGCATTTACCCTCTGCTGTTGATTTGTGTCCTAAATTCACGTATTTTCTTTTGCGTCCCTTTGTGCCGTAAGACCATGGGACAGCGTTTCATGGCCAGAATATCAAAGAAATGTCCTGAAAGTCTCTTGTTTGACTGTGTGGTATCATTGTATTTCCAGAGATCTTAATAGGGACCACAGCAACTGCATCATGACAAACAGAAGAACAGTACAACATACGTGGTTTGAGTGGTGTGTGTGGATTATGTTTATATTACAGTGTAGGGACCAAATGTTCACCATAATGTAATAAAAATCTGTTATGTTGATGTTGTGATGTTCAGGTCCCCATAAAGGTCTGTGAAGGCAATCAAAAAACTAAAAATGCCAGAACTCTCATATCTTGTTTGGTTTCTTACGGTTAAGGTTAGGGCTGGGTAGGGGTTAAGGTCATCATGTTGGGGTTAGGTTAGGGTTTTGCCCATAGAAATTAATATAGAGTCCCCACAAAGATATAATTACAAACCTGTGTGTGCGTGTGTGTGTGTGTGTGCATGTGGTGGATGGTGCCAGATGTTAACAGAGGAGAAGAAACAAAATACTAGGAGGAAGGAAACCCCCAGGCAGGCTGACCCTAAGACAGTAGGGGTCCAGATTTAGACTGGAACTAGGGTATTCTGTTGGATTTTCTGTTAGACCAGCCAGAGATGTTGGTTTGTGAGTCTGGTAGCTGCATGCCTTTGAAGCTCACAGTTCATACATATTTGTCATGAGGTGGGTGGAAAGTAATTTCATTCTAGTCTAAAAACAGCCCTAGGGGAACAAAAATATGTGCAGTTTTCACCCGTGATTTTGGAAAGTGATGATGTTGCTGCATTGTTTGCAAAGCATTGTGGGAGTGTTAGCTGGAGGACTGTTACCTGCTCCCCTCTGGGGGGGATCTGACCAGATAGCGAAAGCCTAGAGAGGTTCGGACTGAGCAGTATGGCAGCTTGCGAGGGGTGACTGGCACTGGACAAACCGCACTGAGCTCACAAACCAGACCCCTTCAAGAGATTACCGTGGTCCCACCCACGCGCTGAGACGCCACTTCCTAGCAGGGGTAGGAGAGAAATCGGGAAGGGGGCTTCGGGAACCGCTCACACAAACGAGGGTGAATCACAGCCTGTAAACCGCACATTGCCCTCCCCAGCCCCTTTGGACTCAATGGGCCACACCCCCACCCTCCCATGACCACTGGAAATGCAGCAACCCAAGATTGACACAGTTTCCTGGTCTGCTGCTTACGACCACCCTGCCGTGCTGGGGCATTTCCAGGGATTCCCATGAGGGCTTTGGGCCAATGAGGAAGGAACAGGATGGGAAGGGGGGCTTAAGGGGACTCGCCCTGTGCAGAATCGGTCTGGTTCAGTGTTTCTCAAACCAGTCCTCAGTGACCCCCCCCCCCAGACTGTTCACGTTTTTGCTTTCTTTCAATTCCCTGATAGTTGGGAGGGAGCAAAAACGTGGAGTGTCTGAGGTCCCTGAGCAGGATTTTCAAAATACCGAGGTCAAAAGTGTTAGCCCTTGCCAGGTCTGTCCCGGAATGGATCACGGTCATTGGTGTGGCAGACAAAATACTGAGGACTTGACCTTGATGTCCTCAGTGGTAGGTACGGGCATATCCCCGAGGACTGGTTTGAGAACACTGGTCTAGTTCTGGTGCCTCGTTTGGGAGTACATCGATAGCAGCTAGCACTGTGCCGTCCTGGTAATTTGTGGTGCAGGTAGACCCCACAGCAAAAGACCGCAGCTTCTCCACAGGACAGACACAGGCGGCCGAGATTTACAGGTCATGTGACTTGTTCAGCTTTGTTTCAGTGCTTGGCTCTCTCAATAAGAGAGTTTAAAAAAGTAACTCAGGTTTCCCAGATGTACGGTGTTTGAAGTTAACTGCTGTCTGCATTTAACATACAAGCCTAAACGACGGCCACACAGTAGCGCTGACTCTTACACATGATAAAAATAGCATGGTAAATTAAACTGTCCAATGGATTAGAATACCTGAAACCATAATGGGTGTGAAATAGTTATAGAAAGACTGCCAGAGTATATAGTAGGGAAGGGGTGACACTGGGCCATTTTTATACTAGTTTTTTCAGTCATCTGGAAGTAATGACGCAGGGGTGAGGATGATATAAACATCTCCTAATACCCCAGTGCCTTAATGTCTCTGGAGATGCCTGTGATTCACTTGAGCCACGTCAGCACCCAGTCATGACGGCACAGCCAATCAGAGGGCTGGTCATTAATGAGCACATCCTGTCGCTTTGTTGTGATTCATCGGCGGTAAGACCCCACAACCGCGGTGCTAATGTGGTCCAGCTGAGCCTCAGCGCCCAGATCTTCAGCGCTTTTCTGGTGGTATTTTCTGGAAGCAGAGCGAGCACCCAGACAAAGTGTTTCCCGGAGAGCCTGCACCATCTAGCGTGGTTTCCTCCAGTTGGCCCAGAGCAGCGTCTGTGGTAAACGGCCATGTTCATATGTCAGACCACATGCGGCGTGTTATGAACCCAGACAGCAGTTCACCCTGCGGTGAGAATGGACCATAGCATCTCAGCCCTTGCCTGTACATCAGGAGTCAAACACCTCTAAACCAGCCTGAGGTGTTTTTTTTTAGTTTTCCTGTATGATAGTAGCTTTGCATTTGTGGTTAAATAAATCAAAGCAAGAATTAAGTGGTTGGATTTAAAAATGTTTTGCTGGAGAGTCCTCCTTGCCAGGGCAGTGTGGTGTGTCTGAGGGTAGAACTACTGCATGCATGCAGGTTTGCTGACCCCCCGCCCCCCCGGCAGGTGATGGCTGCGGCCACAGCGTTGCAGGCCTCCTGAGCGGCACACTGGCCTCCCGCAGCTTCCCGGGGACCTACCCCAACAACACACGCTGCCAGTGGAGGCTGACCGTGCCACTGGGCCACCGGCTGCGTCTGGCCTTCGGCGACTTCGACCTGGAGGCAAGCACCAACTGCAGGAGTGGCTCCCTCACCATCACGCCCGACAACGGCGCGCCCAGCCTGGGTAAGGCGCCCCCTACTGGCCTGGAGGTCAGAGCTGTTGGGTGGCATGCACAGATTCCGTGATGACTCTGACTGCATTAAAACTCACATTTGATGGAAGACAGATCTATAGTCAGATCTACCATGTCAGCATGTGGCTGCAGCCAAACCAACATGTCATTCACCCACCTTTCAACCACTGATCCCCAGTAGGGGTGCAGGAAGGCCAGGAGCCTGTCCCAAGCAGCATAGGGCACAAGGCAGGGCTACTCCTGGGACAATGGGCCAGTCCAAAATAAAGACAAGCAAAGCAAGACGGGCCTTAGATGTCTGTTGCTGCCTCGTGGGCATAAGCATACAAATGCTAAGCTAATATCCACAGCCGAGTTTAATGCCGATGAGTGGCTGTGATGTGAAAATCCTTGAGTGTGGGAGTGTGTTTATGCTGCTGGGCTGTTTGTAAAGGCCGCCAGATGGCCAGAGGCTCACTTCCTGTGCCCTGTGTGCCGTGACTCAGGGCTGGGCCCGGCTTAAGGCCTCCCCTCCCTGTCAGCTACGCTACCTCCAAAAATGACAGTTATCCCTCTGAGCCCCCTGCCCCCCCCATGCCACCTCCAGTTGGCCAGATTTCCCTCACTGGTAGCTTGCTCCCCCTCCCCCACCCAAAAAAAAAACAATTTTACTTAGCTAACAAGAACCAGTCTGGGAATACCAAAACACAGTGTCTACCGAAGAACCTAGAAGCAAGAGTACTATTTTGTACACAGTACCGTTTAACCAGTCAGCAGAAAAGTATTCATTCTTAAAGGTGTGAAAAGCTAGCGTTTGAGGACTCAGCACTCCAGATCATTCATAAGTTCCTCAAGCCTGATATCATGTTGTTGATTGCTATCCCAGCGGGCTTTTCCTCAGAAAGGTTGTCATGCATTTACACAGAGTAGTGAAGAGTGCTCAGTCATTCACAACCTATTTCATTTATGGCACCATGGTGGTTTTTAGCCCTGCTGTCTCAGCAGCTCCCCCCTTTATACTCCTCCCCCCCCCACCCAGGCCCGCTGTGTGGTCACATGGACACCGCATGGCGGAGGCTGACGCTGAACAGCAGCCAGGTGACCGTGCTCTTCGTCTCCGGTGTGCATCGCTCCGGCCGCGGCTTCCTGCTGTCCTACGCCAGCGACCGGCAGCCAGGTACCTCACCGTGGGGGGCGGAGCTTCAAAGAGCAGGTCTCACTGAGAGGCTCCGCTCCTTTCCAGTTAGGCCCTGCCCCCTGGCTGAGCTCTCCTTTGACTATGCGGCATTTTTCTGTTTACTCCTCGCAGGATTGATGTAATTTCCCCTGAACTCTACCGATTTTGTTTTTCTTTAAATCCTCTTTCCCAGAAAGAGGGCTGACTGTGCCTCTCCTCTCATTACCAAATTGATCCCATTCCCTCTCTCCTTCTCCTCGCCATGTAAACTCTTACTCATTGGACAGCTATGGATAAACACCGATGAAACAGTGGATGGAGTGGCTTCCTTTCAGCATTTTAATGTGCTGTATACTTTAGTGGTTTTACTTTTTCTTTTTCTGGTAATTTCTTATAAGAATGTGGCCAGCCTCCAGCTCTCTGTGTGTGGAGTTTGTGCATTTCCTCTGAATTCTCCCTCCCTCTGGATGAATACGTTTATGTAAACGCGGGTCTCTAGATTACCCAGAATGCACGAGTATGTGAGCTTTGTTATGGATTGCCATCCCCCGCCTCGTGGACTCTGATTAATGGAATGGGCTGCAGGTTCACTGCGATGCTGTATTACAGTGTTTCCCACTGCAGTCCTTGGGGACCCACAGACAGTCCACGTTTTTGGTCCCTCCCAGCTCCCGGAGGGAACAAAAGTGTGGACTGTCTGGCTGGTAGCTTGGAGGAAGAAAAAACATGGACCGACTGTGGGTCCCAAAGGACCGGGTTGGGAAACACTGCCTTTATTAGATAAACAGGCACGAATGGATGGAAGGAGGTCAGCTGTTATATACCAGTATCTACATGTTCCTCCCAGCGCTGATTCCTGTTGGCTTTGGGGACCTTGTCTCTTGTTAGCAGCCATGTGTTTTTGGCTCAGGAGAAGGTCCCACCATCCCACCAGACAAGCACTGGATCACCAAATCAGCTAAAGAACCACGCCCTCCCCACCCAAGTCACAATTATTATCATTACCGCTTGCCGTCTCTCTTGTCTCCCATGTCGCCAGTTTTCCAGCATGTCCCGTAAAGTGAGCACACGACGGTAAACAGCCATTACTCTGATCCTGAACAATCGGCTGAGTCAGAGAGTGACCCTCTTCCCATGATGCATTGCTGCCCCCCCCCCCC